AAAACACGAGAGTAAATCCATACCTGTCTCCTGTCTCATTAGCAATTTCCGCTGCCTTCTGTAGATTATTACAATAACAATAAACACGGACTAGGGACAGATGATCTCGAGCAGCTTCATAAAACTGCAGTGCCGTCTCCATTTCGCCAGTTGATTCTAGATACTGAGCCCACCACCTTCTCAAAGACCTTTAAAAAAATTCAGTTTCATGAAAAATAAAAGGGAATACAGTTCCTTATTCTATGTTATGGTTTATATATTTACATTCATATGTTGAGAAAGTCTGTAGATACTAAATCATCATCAAAAGCTTATTATCGATATTCAAAAGATGGCTTCTAGTAACAAATATCATGATCAACAATTACAAATTCTATAAGGAAGAAAAAATGCTTACTTGTCTTTAGTATGCATGATATAATCCTCTAGTGTTGGGAGTTCATCGAACAGCATCCTTGGTACTTCAAACCTATGAGTATCAGATTTCTCATAGTGACTGATGGCACCACTGAAGTCTCCTAAAGTAAAATAATCAGAAAAACCTTTGATAAGTATCCGCATACTCACATAATGTAGGCACAACCTATCTAACAAAGAGAATAAGAAATACTCACCCACCATTTGTTTCCACCCATTTGTTACATCATACCTTACAATCTAATTAATTTGCAAATATCTGATTCACTATCAAATTCATTGGCACACACATTACCTTTACTCTCTAAGTGCTTGGCATAATTATAATGCGTTGATCTCAAGTGAATCCTGTCATTCTCATTGGCCGTCTCCAAAGCCTTTGACCAAATGCCACCATCTTGGTACATGCGATTCACAAGATCATGGCGGCCACACCCACGATAAAGCTGCTCAGCCTCTTCCTTTGATGTTAAAAATGAAATATCAGAAGTATAATATTATTAGAATTATGACCTGGGGGAGTGCAGAAAAGTATTGACAATTCCTTAATTTAAATGCTCAGAATTAAAGTCTCTGGATTATCCTTTTTGACAACAAGATCCCCCCTAAAAATATTAAGGTTCACAACAAACCAAGAGCATTTGGCCCTTTAATGGATGATACAGAATTTGTATACATAAAGGGGAGTCTCCCTTGACCAAAAATCCATTCAAGCCAGTATCCTACCTATGCCCATGCCAGGAGGACAAGAATAAATGCCAAGTCCACAGTGTTTTTTTGTTTTTTGAGTGTCTTTACATGTAGATGACTCAACAAGTGCTTACTTACAAAGAGTCTATTTTATTTTTTTATTGTTATTAGTATTATTAATAACATTAAAATAATAATATTATCAATATCAATAATAGCAACATTTGCTCGAAAACTTAAAGGAAGTGGAAATCCCATGAAGTTACATAGGTCTTCTAATTGCCTCTATGGTGGCTAAACACTTGTGGAGCCATCAATGCAAATAAAATTCACAAAAGAAAGCTGCAGTCAACAGTACATATACCCAGTAGCAATGGATTAAGGACCAGGACCAATCTGGCATGGGAAACAAGTTGACTGCAATAACACCATGTAAACATCATCATATTCTTAAAGTAAAGAGAACATTGGTAGTTTTGATGAAAGCTACATACAAATTTATAAACTCTCAATAGACTACTCACGACCATATTCAGCTGCAGTGCCAGCATGGCCACTCTTGCATCAAGCTGAGGTTCCTTCATGGCTTGCCTGAGAGCTCTAGCACCACGAGCATGACCCATGTTGCCAAGACACAAGGCAGCGACATCTAAACGCTTTGTTTTAACACACATTCTAGCCATGTTTTCCCATACCGTTTCACTGGTTTTGGATTAGAGAAAAAATTACAAGTTTAATATTCTCTTTAAATCAATTAATAGGCTAATAATGAAACATGAGAAGTAAGATTCTTATTCCAGCTGATCTTTCAAAATTCAAATATGTCAAAAAGAGAATGAAACCAATATTGGACTACATAAAGAATACTTATGCTTCAGTGTCAACCAACCTTTTGATTGTTTTGATAGCTTTAAATGCATCATCCATATTTCCCATTGACAGATAGAAGGAGAAGTTAAGCATCGCTTCCTTCGTTGGCTTATCACAGCTCTCCAAGCCTACAAAGTCCCGCATTACCTTTTGCGTCACTAATTTGGCTTTCGTGTCAGACTGAAAGATGAAGAGGATGAGGTTGAAGCAACTGTTACATTTCAATTTGGATTATGAATCCATAAAAGACATGACCCTCCCCCCATAAAAAAAGGAAATTATGTAAATGAAGACCATAACTTAATTTACAATTCAAGCTTATAAAATTATGTAAAAATACAACATCTAACCTCTATGAAAAATGCACCTTAGTCAACAATTATAATAATACTTCAGATAAGTTATCTTCGACATCTTCACAGGACTGATTTAAAGAAAATAAAAAACTTGGTTAGCAATACTACCATACCTTTTTGTCAACAGTACTTTCATTCAGCAGATACAGAAATGGGACTTGCACGCCGAGAAGTCTAGAGTAAGTTGGAGTAAGAGGGAAGGCATCTTGAACAATAGCCCCATGGTCAGGACTAACAAACAGAGACACCAACATGATTGCAGGCTGTAAAGAGAGAGAGAGAAAAGTTTTAATCAATGACTTTTCCTAAAAAAAAAAAAAAAAAAAAATGATAATTGCTTCCTTTAATGGAAATGAAAATCAGGTCTTAATCTCTGTAGTGGAAGCAGCAATGCATAACTTAATTAGCAGTGAACCTGATAAAATATAGATATGTACATCTGATTTCCAATGGCACTAACCCTTTCTTCCTTATCTGCAGCCAAGTAATTATCTCTTTGCTTTTTCTTGCTATGAAGGGACTTAGCTTCACACACAAGTAGCCGAGGATCTTCAAGGTCCCACATGTGAGACATCACAAAGCGACCCCCAACTTCTCTGGCTGTCTCACGCTTGGCCCTGTATCATAAGTGATCAATATTCAGGACATGCTACATATAAATACACACATATATTTCTTTCACTTCATTCTTTCTTACTCAATCACAGTCTTACCTATCTTGGCCTCCACCATACTTGGAACTTGTACTCTCTGCAGAGTTTGGAGGTGCTGTCCCATCGTTATCATCGTCTTCAGATCGTCCAGACGCAAAATTGAAGTACGTAATATTGTCATTCTCTATATCCCAGATGTATAATTTTGGATCAGGAAGCAGGGAGGTTTGAGCTACAGCAATAGAGACTCTTGTACCACTACAGTTACATCTTGCTGAGATAACTTCCCCAAAGTCCTTGATGGCATCACTCAAATGTTTGCCTTGCGTGTGTTGTTTTGCCTCCCTGAGAGCAATATTCTAGATTAAACAGGATAACGTCCATATAATTAAGGATCTAGAAATGAAAATCATCTCTTGCCAGCCATCAACTTATCTGCCAGCAAGAAACTCCACGCTTCCATTTCTCCTCCAGCTAGCATTATCCATTTGTGCATGTGAAAATACAGCAACAACATTACCCTCTGGCATCATACCAAAAACAAAATACTTAAGCACCAAGTGATGTCTGCCTGAGCCCTTATCCCTTCCTGATGATGCCAGCATTTCCTGTAGCATATACTTTTTTCAAACACCTGCTGCTACACATATCACAGACAGCAGCTACTTTTTCCTGATCTGTCAGATTGCTGCAGCTCATTCTTTGCAGTCTGAGTAGAGTTACAAGGCCTTAAAATTTTGCTCAAGAAAAAGCTGGGAAACTATAACCTTAGCTGGAAAGCTCCTTGCTTTTTGCTAGTTTTAAGTTAGCATTTAAGACTTTATTGCAGTATATATCTACAAATATGAATCAGTTAGAAATGAAGACATGTAAATCAAATAATTATTATTACCTTCTAGATAAGTCCCATAACTTGATAATCCCTTGGATTGTGGCGACCACAAGGAAATTACCACAAGGCAAGGCCCTCATTATCTGCGAAACTCAGTGTCTGCTTTATTGTTCCCTGTATAGATCGTACTTGGACATTTGCACCCTCTATGGAATATATGCTGGCTTCATGTAACACAGCACTCTCTGCTTCACATGTAAAAGAACCTGTAATAAACAACAAAATTCAGAGAAAAATCATACAATGAATTTGTTAAAGTTGCCCTACTATTATTACTAATGATACTATCATAATAATTTTCATCCTTTTCATTATCATCATCATTAGTAGTAGTAGTATCACTGTCATTGTCATTACCATTATCATACTAAATTTATTATCATTATCAGCATCATTTTCTTTAGCATTTACTATTTTCATATTTATCATTATCTTTTTCATCTTCATCATTATTACTATTAAAACCATAATCATTATTTTCATCATTATATTCATCATTTGCTTACACAGGCAAAATACTTGGTAAAAAACAAATAAATAAATATATCATGCATTTCCCAGTATCTTCAATATTCTAACTGCTTCAAGGATGTTTACATATTCAAGGCTGAATACTAACCTACAACTCTTAGGTGTGTAGCATCTGATGTAATTTCATATATAACCATTTTCTTCATATTCCATATCAAGAGGTGATCCACGGTGTTGTGAACACCTCTGACTTGTATGTCTGCACGGAATTCCAAATGGTTGTCTGCTGAGAAAACATCAACTGACAGCTGAGTTGGTGATTCCTGAACAACACATACCTGGAGAGCAATTGCAGAGAAAAATAGTTGTTAATGACTGCACTAAGAACATCATGTAGACCTATGAGACATTATTGATATGATTTGTAAGTAACTCAAGAATACTCATTTTTTACAATAATTTCTGTCCTGACTTGCCTGATCACGGTAACTTGCTACCATGTTCTGCTCGTTGAGTATGTACACATCTCTGACAGTGTCAACAGCCAGCAGATTTTGAGCCGAGCCCCATGAAACCTAGTAAAAAAAACAAAAACAACATAAATACTGATACAAACAGACACCAAAAATAAAGGAAGTATCATTCTATACTATAATCAATTTCACAAGATAGCAGGAGATATAGCTAAAGGTAGACTATGTGTATCCTTTATGCATATACACTTCTAACAATAAACACAAACAAAGGAATGTATAAACATATCTAAAAAGAAGCACTGACACGACACAAACAGAATATTTTTTCTTTTTTATTATACATCCCAATAAAAATCTTGATTATTGTATAAAATCCTTCAAACAAATATGCTATCATACAAACACAAACTTTGTCACTTTATACTATCAATTAAACAGAACAATATGCATAAAAAAAACATGCTTGTATACCCTTTTCACTGCTCCTGATAAGATGGATGGGCTTTGCAGCTTCCAGTCTTTCTCCGGATCTCGTGAGTAGTCATTGTTTTTTAGCTTTTGTTCTTCATATTTCCACATGGCCACGCTCCCCATATTTGTGCCTCCACATAATATTTCTGAAATGCAATATGAGTCAGTTATCAAAAAAGAAAGAAAAAAAATCAATGTTCCTTATATCTGTATCTAATGAAAATTCATCTTAAAAATATATCTACAAAACAATCTTTATCTATCTGCGTACCTCTCTCTCACTCAATTCATAAATCATAATACCCTAAAATAACTCACTTTTGTTTTCTGAATAACTGAGGCACATCATGTACTCTTGGTCCCGATAACTGAAACCGTGCAAACTTAGTACATAATTATCTCCCGAGTCGAGGTTCCACAGACGCACATTGTTGTCTCCAGTTGATACAGCCAGCAGTCCTGTTCCAGCCCATGTCACCTGGATATCATTTGTCCTGCCACTCAGTTTAACCTGAAAATAAATAGGAATAATAATGTATAAGTAAATAAGGTTAAAGCAAATCATCTAAAAAAAAACAAAATAAATATTTTATTTTAACAATTATAAGATCACCTCAACAAAAATGCCCTTATAATCTGTAACCTTTGTAAAAAAAAAAAAAAACATTTGAATTTAACAATTATAAGATCTAAAATTATACCAGCCATATATTTGTCTCTACTGTAAGAATCTGTACAGAACACCAATGCTCCTTTACCTTATTGATTTCAGTAACTGCTCCATCAATAGCCACAGAGAACTGCCCAAGAACCATTCCTTCAGTAATAACCACAAGCAAATTACGCGATTCATGATGCAGGAGGCGCTTAATGCCCCCATCTGCCTGTAGAACCTCCACACAGTTCCCGGACCATGACATAATACTGTTCAGCAATAAAAGGCAGTAATAATTCCAAGTTGTTTATTCTATCTAATATTCAAAAATAGCAAAGAAGATAAATTAATTATGGCCATAATGAATATTTGGAATATTGCACTGATTATGAAAGAGATAATAATGGTAATTATAATCATACTGAAAATGATTTCCCCTTTCATAGGCATACTACTAAATAAGGTTATTCCTCATGTTACAGTTTTACAACTCTCTCACTGTTAAGTAAAGGGAATTCCAATCATTTGAAAGTTAGTTCAAAACATAAATCTTTCTTTCTGTCAAGTAATCCTTAAAAAAAAAAAAAAAGGACAAGCAAACCATCACACAAACAACAAAAATGACCCAAGAAAGAAATTGAGATTCTCCAATTGCTTCCCAGCCCAAGGCCTTTGTGCCAGTGCCTCAGGAACCAAACTAAAGATGTCAAGGGCTCTTTCGTCTCCACTCACAGCAGCCCGGGCAAGACCACTGGAAGGTGATTGAGGAAGCTGCTAAATACGGCTCTATACAAAAATAATAATAATAATAATAAAACAAGAAAAAGAGAAAAAAATGTTGGAAAACTTTTTCCTGTGACCTTAAACATCCTACGTAACTGTAATATGGAAATATTTGATCTGATTTAAAAGATGCTGACTTGGCACTCAAGATAAAACTCTGCATCTTATCTCACCTAATGTCACAAGCATCCTTCCAAGCTAAGAAAAACTCCCCTGATCAAAATAACTAAATCATTCTACATGTGCAAGAAAATAAAGTAAAACCATTCACTCTGTTCCAGAAACTTCATTTTGCCTATATCATATGTGTATTTCTTTTAATGTAAGATTAACTATATAAATGCAAGACCTGCAATGGAGTGTTTCTAATCTTATTGACTTTTCATGGTGCAGCTATGTTTCCTTGCTTATCTTTATAAATGGTTATGTCAATATTATCAAGAAGGGTTAAACGATTCTTTGATTCAACTGACATTAAAATTGATAATAAACTCTACCTCTCCCATTTTGCTGTTATTTTCTCCTTCACTTAATTAACATACTATTATTATAAATGTCTACAAGAACCACAAAAAAAATCCAAAATACCCTGGTACAGGAATAAGACACTTACAAAACAACAACAAACAACAAAGAATTGAAAAAAATTACTTGATATCTAGAGATGGTAGTTGGGTTGCCACGGTAACCCTGAAGACGATCTGTGCCAGTGGGTCCTTGAGCTCATGAGTAAACACTGTCTGCAGATTGCCTGATGTGTCCACTCTCCAGCCTACCAAAGATCCTGACTGAAAATTATTAAAGAAAATGGGAAATAATAAAATTATTTGAAAAAAGAGAAAGAATAAGTTATTTCAATTTAACTACATAGAATCATCATTATCATCATCAAAATATCAATAACCTTAATAATGATGATCATCATCATGAAGATCATGATGAAAATAACAATAACAGTAGTAATAACAATCATAACATTACTCATGAGAATTTTTAAAACAGGTCAAACAATTTCAATAATTTTAATATGACTCCCTTTACTATTATTACTAATGCTTGCTCAAATAATATATTAAAAAATCTAAGTCACTACATAAATCTCACACAACTCCTCCAACCCTTAGAAACTCACTGCATCTGCTGACACTAGTCTGGCTCCCGCTGCACTGAAGCAAAGTATGGATATAGGTGCGCGGTGCAAACTCTGAATTTCATGGAACTCATGCTCATGGTCATTCCAGAGGTAGAGTTCTCCTGTCTCCCATCCGATGGCAAGAATGCGCTTGCTTGGATGCCAGGTCACAGATGTCACCTGGGCTGTAGGATGGGGCGGGATGTCCACCTCATCACATAGCTTGCCCTGGTCAGAGGAGGCACGTTTACAAGTATATACTAGGTACAATGCAAATTTGCTATATATCAATACAGCTTGTATGTAAAAGCAAAGTCATTCTCTTTCTTTCTCACTCGTTCTCTCTCTCTCTCAACTTCATGAACATTAAAGAAAATAGTATCAATGAATCACTGGTACTTGTCGTATATACAGTCCATGAATTGTAAAATTGCAATCACATTATTAGCTAGGAACTGCAAGGAATACACCCTGTATATTTCATGCCTGTCCTCCAATATTAAAGATAATATTGTTGCTATAGTTGCTCTAAACTGAATGAAACTACTCTATATGGTTAACCCACATACTCAAAAGAATCATCAATATTGTGTAAGCAGGGCAAACCTCTCTATAAGATTTACCTAAATATGCAACAAAAAATATGAACTTTCCAATCAAACATCATGTCCATTACACATCTGCTTAATCTTATCAATCATACATTTAACTTCACATAAAGACAAAAGTATGACTAAACATGTACCAGAAACATACTTTCATGCACATAGATTATACACACATTTACATCTACAATTACATAAAGGCCATACCTGGAATAGAATACATTGTTTAAAAATTAGTAATGAACTATAAAAAATTCAGATCAAAAGTGTGATGTATCTGATATAGGTTATTCATTAACATTATATCTTTATTCTATTTTTGTATACAAATTTCATCCTTAAATGGATTTAAATTTAAAATTTAATCATTAGCTGCTTGTTAAAAGCAAGTTCAATCAAAATATAGAAATCTGAGGCACACAATTGAAAATGACAAGACAGGTATGCCAGAAAAAAGTTAAAATTCAAACAAAACACCAAAATCTTTACCTCCCCTGTGTACACATTGACTGCTCCCCCTTTTTCTTCGCTAAAGGAAGCTACAGCGAGACAGGTTGCCTGAGGATGCCATGCTATCTGGGTGTTGATTGCATTACTAACTGGACTTTCTACTATGCAGTCAAAATACAGCGACATATTTTACCTGTAAATTTGCAGGTAGGGAAAGCTAGGTTATCATAGTTATAAAAACCTGAAATATCATGATTACTAACTGACAGGGAAATGCAATCATATACAGTAAGTTAAACAATAATATAATGCATCATAAGATTCCATCTACTGGAAAAAAGAAAAAAAAAGAAAAAAAAGAAAAAATTGCAACTGTGGTATACTACTCTCACATCTTAGCCAAGCGCCTCTTCTATAAAAGGAAGAATTTTTCAACTACTTCTTTATGTGGCTATGTACAGTAAAATACTTTTCTCCATATATACAAACCTGACAGCAAAAAAAAAAAAAAAAAAAAAAAAAAAAAAGAAGAAAAGCATATCATATCAAGTTATTGCAAGAGCTATTACTGATTCTTTTGATGGATACAGCAAAGGAATACACAATTCATAAACCATTTACCTTTGAAAAAATTGAAAATGTGAAAATTGGGTCTTTCTCTATTTTCACTATTCACGTGCTAATTGAATTCTAACAAGTAAACAGTAATCAAATGTATGCCTAAGGCAGTAAAATCATTCTATCACTATCAATAAAAAAATGTATTTTTTATTTTCATCTCAGAAAAAAATGTAAAGTATCTCTTTTTAGCATGCAAATATATCCATAAGACATTCCACAATGCAACATATCTGCAAATCATTTCACATTGACATATATACAGAGTGAATTATACATAGTAATATTCAGAAGTTATAGCTAGAAAACCAATATCAAATCAAAATAAAGAAATATGTAGAAAATCTTTAACTCATATGAAAGAGCCATAGAACTTAATTCTGATAAGAGTCCAATCTAATCTGGCAACAGCCTGATATTCCCTTTCAATCATCAAATCTTACTAAGCATTTTCTTTTCAGTAAATTACTTTTTTTTACATTAAATATCAAAACATTTTTTTGAAAAACTGAACTGTCTGAAAAGCATCATAAAATCTTTGAAGAGGAGCTGTTCTTATAAAAGTTAATACTAACCCTGCAAACCAAGTAACCCATTCATGACATATGAAGTCCTACAGCATCATGGCAAAAGATTTTGCAATGGCAACAAAACTTTCTCATGCATATTCAAGCATGATGTACAGTCATCAAACAAGGACTAGTCCAGCATATTAGGCTAGCCTCTGCTGAAGCACAATTGCTTCTGGTATATTTGGTTAACAGACATTGATTACAAGTCCACAGATATAAAATTTGATGGAATTTAAGGTGCAAATGAGAAAACTACCTAATCCTATTCTGGACAATTCCTACAGTCTTATGTTTCATTAAGTAAATAAAAGTAATTATTTGGAATTCCTTAGCATAACCGATCGTGACAATTTTGGTATCAATGGATTCCTCTCTCCTTATTATCCATATATATCAGTTATGCTACGTACATTGCCAGACATAGCAAGTAAATGAGAAGACTGTAGATGGACAATACAAATCCTAAGCAATACACATGTGGTGGATTCTTTATAATCCAGGGTGTGTGCTGGGGGCCCTTGCATTTCACTATATATCGAATGACTCCCTGTGTATTATTCATATTGGTAATAATATGGAAATCATTGCATATACACCCCTAAACCACCATATTCTTGGCCATGAAAGGTACCAGGGAAATTGCAGTGTAAAATGTAAATGATATGCACAAAATCAGTCACTACATTTTCTGGAGGGTAGCTGCACCACCCAGGGAAACATAGAATCCTCCGCGTATTCATGCCAGGAGAGAGCATACAACCACCATGTGGGAGCAGCATGCCAAGTCTGTCCGACACTCTCTCCTGCTGTGAATGTGAGGAGGATTCTTTGTTTTCCTGGGTATGGGTTGGGTGTTGCATTAGACAACATAGTGACTGATTCTGCGCATACTATTTCAATAGAAAATTACCTTTCAGGTACTTTTCGGGTTGGCATTCCCTTGTACCATTCATGGGGTCAGGGCCAAGATTGTGGGTATAGGGGGAGTTTCCGTGGGACAATTTCTATTTATTTTGGTAGTAGAGAGTGAGAGGAATCCATCGATAACCAATATCGTTGTGACCAGTCATGCGAAGGATTTCCGAATATTTACCTAATTAAACCAAGTATGCTGTAAGAACACTCAGAAATAAAAATGTGTAAGGGTTGAGTTTCAATAAATTTATGAATTCGCATGAACTTTATCATTCATAATATTTAGTCAGACTTAGGGAATAGTTCCAGTTCCACACAGCCTTCTATTAGAGGGAGTATTTTACATTTATTGGGCAGAATGAACGAAAATAAGGAACTTTTCTTAGCACTAGCTTCAAAATAATGTAATCCCATCCATTGATAATCAAACTGCGGTCACAGCAGAATAAAAATTCAAACTGTCACACATCAAGCCTTACCAGAACTACAACTCCCACAATAACTACACTGAAACCAATCGATATAAAACTCTCACGAGAATCAGAATTAACTACACAACCTCTAATTCACTCCACCAGTTCCTGTCACCTCACCAACCTCTGAAAAAAGGCCGAAATTCACACAGGAGGGAGATCGCTTCTCCCGATCGACATGGTCCGAGTTGTTTGTTGATGGAATGTTGACATAAACATTCTACAAGAGAGACAACTTTCTAAAGACGTGTTATTGTTCTTATCTATTACTTAACTTTTGTTTCTAAAATAATTTTAGATTATTTTGTCATCTTAAAGCTTGAGTAAATATTCAGATAACGTATTGTCTGTCAACTAACTGATGCTCCTGTTTATTTTTTTATGTATGTTGTTCCTAGGCAGTTGCTTATCACAATCCCAATTTCTGAATGTAATTGACTAATCTCTTTTACCTATTTTCATCACAAAAATGTTGATATTTATATTAGCTAATAATATGTATATAAACGAATAACCATCAGATATACTCCAGCTGGTAACCATGGCAACGGTGTAAACATTCCCGAGCATGAGTGCATTGTAAAGTCTACGGAGAGTATCAAACAGCGCACTCATCATGACTGCCAGAATAGCATATTGTTCGGACATGGATAAGTCCGTCCTTGCAAACAATTTCGAGAAAAGAGGATGGATACAAGTGAATCCAGACGACGAATGGAATTTCTATTGGTGAGGAATTCCCACAATTATGTACGTCGATGTAATTAAAATATCTAAGTAAAATCAAACGTATTTCTTCAATAGCTTCAACTCATGATGATCATATAGTAAGTTAAGCAAAAAGGAATTATGCAAAGCTGTAAAAATTTTGCGCTATGCTGCATAGAACCCATCAATATTGCACATCATGTCTAGTGTTTGCTGTAACTGTCTAACATATTTTTTCTTCTTTTTTACCAAAAGATATTTATTTATTAATTATTATTATTATTATTATTATT